TAAGTGTCAATGTAATTAATTTACGTCAATGACCACCGAATATTCTGTTAGCAGAATGGTTAAAATTAATAATAAAAATGCATTCATTTTCCCTGTGATACCAACATTATGTGGCAGAATAAAAAGCTCCAGACCAGTAACAAAGTATAAAAAAAAATAGTTACCCGGAAATTTCAAAACATCTCATAGATTTAGTCGTGTGTATTAGACCAGACAACAGCTGTATATATTTACTTAACTGTTTTTTACATCGGAAATTCTGCCAATGTAAACACTGACTTCAACGAAAAGTGATATGATATTTTATTAGATTTTCTTTTAAAATCAATATTGAACAATAACTATATTGATAAGCTGATACTAAACTAAAAATATCTATTATTCTAAGCCAACATATAAAAGTTTTCAAATTAATTTTCTTCACTGCGTGGTAAGTCATTTGTTGTACTTGTATTTTTTCTCCACGAAGTCAAGCATATGTTTGAATGAACACAATTCGTTGATGAAGCAGACATATTCTGTACTGATTTAATTTGCATATTAGAACATCATCGCAAATTCCAAACAGTTTTTAATTAAACAATATTGCTTCGCTCAGCCCTTATCGATTGTGCGTAGTATTTTAATATCTTAAGTGAACTACACAGTTTTTGTACAGCTTTCTTTAAAGTCTGAAATTTAGGATTAAAAAGTTTAGGATTATCTAATCAACTCAATGGAATCATCGATTGGATTATAATAGTAACTAAATAATCCATAGGGTCTTCTAAGAAATATATTGACTCATAAAAGAAAAGAATAAAAAAATACTTCAAATAATGGATTAATATTGGATTTACTTTATCAATATTTTTCAAAGGTGTGTGAGTACAAATTTGGTTTCTCATGGGAAGATAATATCCAGAAAAATCAAAAGATCACTTGAAACATTTGTGGTATTTTACTGTAAACAAAGGGTAGATGCAAAAATATACAAATACAATATTATGTTCATTTTAGTTAATTTTCTAAATATAGATTATTACAAATCACATTACTGTACAATTAATCAGTGTAGATTAAACATTTTGTTATCATTATAATTACATTAAGAGTAACAATATGCTAAATATAAAAATACTATTAAAAAATTAATAAATTCTTTTTTTTTTTATATTTAGCATATTGTTAATGTTATTATAATGATAACATTAATAAGAGTAACAATATGCTAAATATATTAAAAAAAAGAATTTATTAATTTTTTAATAGTATTGTAAAGAGCCTCATTAAGGTAGTATTGTTTTAATGATATTGGATCTAGCTATCTAACAATGGAGCCAAATTCAGGGTTAATCTTCCAAATAATACCATTTTATGAGTCTTACAAATGTTCGTCAACATCTTATTTCTCCATATTTAAAATTGCATCCATTTATACTAACATTTAGAAGCTTCATTGCAGTATTATAAATTTGTGTGTTACGGACAATCTGCACATAAGACAAACATGATTCTAAGAATCTAAAATGTGTACGTCATGCGTATAAGACATTTTTTTTAAATTATAATTTGCTATTTTAAGCCTCGTCATATATGTGAGTATACAGTAAATTAAGGCTGATAACTTAAAAAGTAGCAATTCAAACAGTAAGATTCAAAAAATGTGCAGAATGGATATACAGTACCATAAATATAAATAAATACATGCTACAAACTAGGAATCAGCATTGCCATTAAACTTTGAAATTAAATCTATTTGAAACCAACAAAAAATAGATTGGTTTCCCATCAACTGTTTCTTTCTTGTGATTGGTTGAAACCGATTAAGACTGACAGTGATAGTAAATTCACCGTGTGTTGCAGATTTTCAGTTGGGCCTCAATTGCGGGTCATTTTCAAATTGTATTTTACGAGGCCAATAAAGTGGTTTACCACAGTTTTATTGTGTGGTAAATACCATCATTCCAAGTGACAGAAGGTAACTAGATACAGTCAATGCTAGCAATCAATTACAGCATAGCATAGATAATAGTTTTCTCAATAATAAAAACTACTATTGGTACCATGTTCAGGAAAAAGTTCAATGCTTTTTTTCAAAAAGGTGACAAGGAAGGGGCATAGGTCATGGGAAAGACACTTAGCCCTAAGGAATATTTTTAAATGTATGGCTTCAACATTATGTTACCCTGATGTGTTTTGTTAATTCTGCATTGTCAAACCAAAAAGACACAATAATTAAACTTCACCAATCACTTGAAAAAGATCGCTGAATTTGGTATAATCTTGTTTGCTTCAGGCCACTAGTAGTAGTGGTAATATGTGTTAATTTTTATTTAATGTGTTAATTTTTTTTCCTTAAATCATTATTTTTATAAAAAAATTTCTGAGTTTACTTTTTTCTGTATTAATTTAATTGATTAGTTAAGTTTGATGTAGTTTATTTTTCATCTATTATTCTTTTGTCTTTATTGTATGTACTGAGGGTCCCAACTGATCAGCTCTGGCTGGATGGACTACCTCACAAAATATTGTTGAAATAAAAATAATATTAGTAAAAATACTAATAAAAAAGTATAGCAGAGTAACAAAAAAAAAACCACAATAACAGCAATAATAATACAGTAATCAGTAATAAACATAGGCTTTTAATTCACCCTTGTTTATGTTGTTCCATTTGTTTTCAATTGGATGAACCATCAGTTACTGTCTGATGTGTGCCACTGATACAAAAGTGAATCAAATAAATATTATTATTATTATTATTATTATTATTATTATTATCAGTAGCAAAATGGTAACACTTAGACATGCATACCTGTACATATGCTGATAAAAAGTAACAATTCGTCGCTCACATCACGAACTAACACAATCAAAGTAGATTGTGTTAGTTCGTGAAATCACAGTAGCGCGTCAACACGAGCGTGTATTGGTTGTCAAGCAATTTTGTATTCCACACAAGAAGTCCTTAACGACAACAGCGCATATTTTGACGCGCTTTTTTGATTTTTACGAACTAACACAATTGAATTTAATTGTGTTAGTTCGTGATGTGAGTGACGAATTATTACTCAATAATGGATGTAGTACAGAAGTAAGGAAAGAAAAAAAAAGAGTAAAAAATAACTTCCTACACAACCAATGCTTTATTAAACCACAATTGATTCATGGTTGACTGTATATTTACAAAGTAGGCAAGTAATGTGATGTAAATTTTTATTTCCCAGCTCTTCAAAATATCAGCACATTAAGATTCAGGATGTGGTTGCAATCTATTTGTGGCTTTCGAATGATCTTTAAATGCACTGCAGATCAAAGAATGCTGCATGTGCTTAAAGAGACTATGTCTGCACAAAGTAAATAAAGTATACACCCTGCCTTTGAATAATTTTTGTATAGGCATATAATTATAGCTTTAACATTATCATACCATATCTTATTATCCCCATCATCATCTCCACTACAACCACCACATTAGAAAAATAGACCCTTAAATTTTTCCAGCTAATTTAAGAACTCTGTAGTATCTGTTTTCCCAATTTGTAACTTTTTCCCAATTTGTGACTTTTTTTCCCCAATGTGATTCTTTTAAAAAATCAGTTCAACATTTTGGCAAATTAATGTAAGTAAACAACCTAACACCTAAGTCTATATTACATCAAAATTAATCTACCTATCATGTGGAAAAAAACATTAAGTCTGACTACGAGCTCTCCAATCTATTCAGGTTTGTCCAACTGGCTGTCATCCAACATACTGTACATCTTCATAACTTAGGTATCAGCACAGACATAGACAACGCAGTGTATTAAACTCAACTATAACAAACAGTCAACAATCAAAGTTGGGTATTGAAACAATATTATACACTTCAAATCTTAAAGGGCACATTAAACACTAAACAGATTTTTTTTCATTTTTTTACCCTTTTCTCCCAGTTCTTAATTATACATATTTCATCATCATTATGAGTGGATTATTTATTTTGGTTTATATACGATTTTATAGAACTTTATTTTAAATTACAAGAAAGTCTGTGATGAAGAAAATTTTTTAGTAATGTAATTTATTTTAATAATAGTAGTAATGGTGGCATTTTTTAGAAAATATACCATTTGTAAGAACATGCTCCATGTTAAATATGTTACAACAAATATATAATAAATTCAAAAATTTGTATATCATTAACAGCTCCAAAGTTTTTCGTCAAACACCATTTTTGTTTCTTAGAAAAATCAGTTGTACAAATATATCAAAAATGTTTTCGCTCCAGAGTCAAATAACGTTGATTTTGTAAAGCTTCAATTAGTGATCTTATGGCCTGTAGCTGGTTTGCAACAGATTGAATTAAAACTATACTTTACCTTTCAAAGGAGTGGAGTTGTTTTAGTTGTGAAAACAAATACTAACCAGTGATTTGAACCCAGAACTAAAAGACACATATTTTAACCACCAAGTACAGCTTCACAACATTTACCTTTCCAGAATATTAATAACTGACCAATCACAAAGTGTTTGTCAATAGGTTGGGGGGAGCCATCTTGTTGACAGGGGCGTATCTAAGGGGTTTGCCCCGCTCCCCACCAGTCAGACCCGAACATCATGCTCATGTAGTTATAAATCACCTCAAATCACCTTATTTTGTGAGCTAGCTGCACCCCTCACCTAATCATCAGGCCCCTGACTTTAATTGCAGGCCCCCTCTCCATCATCCCCCTATTTCAAGACTCCTACTGTAAGTATGCCACTATTTGTTGATTGCTTATGTGTTAATTTAATAACAAAGAAATACAATGTATACATACATTAATATGGAATAGTTATTGGATATATACAGTAGTTACAGGTTATGTAAAGTCCATGTAATCAACTGTGCAGTAAAATATGACAATTAAGCATAAGATTCTGGTATTAATTAATTAATAATTAAATAACAATTATTTAATTATTAATTAATTAATAATTAAATAACAATTATTTTAAACATCTATGGTGAAATATAACAGATATTGACAAACCTTGCATTGAGCCTGGTGAGGTAGTGACTTTCTAATATGTTCTTGTATTCGATACATAGCCAAAGACGGATCATTTGCTACTATGTGAAGACTCTCTGAAAATTTCTCAGTAACTACAGAAGAAAATGTACTATATTTAACATGATATAATTACAAGTTATAATTTCTCATGCATTTTCTTGCACAAATTATGATTATCATATAAAAATAATCAACATGATCTTGGAACAGGCAATTTGATGTATATTAACAATAATGGAAATAAGCATTTTATGCTTTCTGACTGTTTAATCAGGATTAACTAATTTCATTTGGCTTCACAACATATATATCAGCATCATTTGAAAGATAGCACTCTGCTGAAACTTAATTTCAAATATGCAAAAAAGAAATACATAGTCCCTAAACAGAAATGTATGTAGATTCATTTGTTTCCATGCTGTTGTCCTGTTCTAATTTAAAATACTGAACAGTATTAATGTATATCATGTTTTTTTTAAATTGTATTAGTGAATGTGAATCTGGTACCAAGTATTATATTATATGAGGAAAGCATACAGTATGCAGTAGAAAAAAAACTAACAATACCTCGTTTAACCTTGTACTCCATATCTGGATCTAGAAGACTGTCACTTGTACTAACTGTAACCAATTGAATATTATTTATTCAACATCAATTTAATATAATTTATTGTCAACTTTCTCATTAGAAAAAAAAATAAGTGCAGATAAGAAATGGGAAATAGGGCAAAAGTCTTCAGTTTATAATGAATATAGCCCTAAAACTTGAAAAAAGTTTTCCACAATCAGAAAAATAATGTGACCAATCATGAAAATGATAAAAACATTATTTGCAAAGAAAACTAAAAACATGTTGGAATGCAATTACAGTAGAACCTCGGTTTTACGTACCCCAGTTATACGAACCCTCGGTTTTACGTACGCCTTGTATCGACGATGGCATCATCAAAAAACCCAAAAATATTCAAAACAAACGGCCCTTTTCAGAGCAACCATAAGTAAAAAGACTATAACAATAAACTATAACAATAAACAAACCATAATGCAACGTATTTTCATTAAACAGCAACGTTGATTGAGTCTAATACCGGGTTGTTATAATCTAAAACCATGTGAACTGAGTGAGATGAACAACTACCGATGGTGCTCAAAATGATTGCTTTCCTCCTAAGCTTCGTGTGGCAAACCATGGAAAAACTTGTCTGGTCGAATTTTCTACACGAAGCTGGGTAGACATAGTTTCGTACACGAACGCTAATTGGTTGGCTTGCCCAGTGCATTGCACATTGTTGCTGTTTCACGTACACGAACGCTAATTGGTTGGCTCGCCCAGTTTTAGTTTGTCTCAACAGGCCCAGGCAACACCACAGCTCTGTTGTTTAGAATAGTCATGAAGGGGAACTCCCAAGTTATACCTTTGTCGTATAGGTAATCTTACAATATTTTCATGTTCTTTAGTTAAATAAAAGATATAAAGTGATGAATAAATACACTAAACACATGGTTTTATTTGAACACTTTATTATGACATCGTAAAGTGATGAATAAAAACACCAAACAAATGGTTTTAATCGTAGGCCTAGAGGCTACACGTTGGTCTAGCCTAGGTAACATCGTTCGTTCATACATACGTTTAATGAGCGTTACGTATGTATTAGGTCAAAGGTTACCACAAATTTAACCCAACCTGTATTTTACGAATCCCCCGATTTACGTACACCCTCCGGTCCCGTACCGTAAGTAAAATCGAGGTTCTACTGTAGTTGAAAGCAACAATAAATATTAAAAATCAAGTTTATTAGCAAGCCAATTAAACATTAAAAGCTGTTAGACGTCTTTATAATATTACCTGTAGTGTAGTTAATAGTTTACATATTTAAGGTAGAATTATTTTTATTAAATATAATTTATTAAACATATCAAAATAAACATTGAAGTAATAATATGAAGATAAAACCAGAAACAACAAAATAGACATTTAATATTATTAATTATACATTCTCAAAAAATGGTGGTAGGGGGTATATGTTTTATCGCGTACGTCCTACATTTCTCATCTAACATAAAAAACAAACAATTCTTGCACAACTACATGTCCACCAGTTACTATGAGGAAAACATTATACCCGCCGTGAGGCACCGTTTAGGAGCCTATTCGTTTACAAACCCGCTGCCACTTTGCTCACACACACACACACATACATTTCATGTTCGAATTATCCCATTAGTTCCTTGTGACCTTAAGGTCACAAAGGAACTAAAAAAAAAAAAAAAAAAATTGGGGGAAGCAAAAAACATGGTTAAAATTTAGGGGAAAAAATAGCTAAACAGCCTATTCAATTTCTAATTTAAACAGTGATTAAAAGGTTCTCATAAAGGAATTTAGTACTGTATGAAACCACCAACCAACATACATTAAAATATTGACATTATTACATAGAAAACCAAGTCAATAAAATATATGATATTACCTCAAGATTAAGAAGGGCCAATCTATAATATACAATAATAATAATCAATTATTGAAAATCATTTGTATAAAAATGTATGAGAGCACTGATAGTTTCATAATCATATAAAAGCCTGTAGGCTTGATAAAAGATCAAATAAGTTATAAAATTGTAATGAGACCAAACAGTTTTCACTGGTTTACAGACGATTTTAAATGTATGGCTTATCTCTTTCTAGTAGGTCTAGCCTAGGCAGTGGGCTAGCCTAAGCCTACCTTAAATTTCTATTAAAAAAAAAAAAAAAAAAAAAGAGGGCAATTTAAAAGAATTGAATATTATTATCAACAAATGTTCAGATGTCAAAATAGTGATTAATTCTTACCTTTACTGGAATCGAAAAGAAACCCAGAAAATCTGTCCATACTCGACGCCACAATCAAACAATAAACGTGTGCAGCCTAGGCCTTAATCTTACCAAGAGACTGCGGCTGCTCCAGTGCATCTAGCCCTTGGTCAATTGTTTACTTTCGTGGTATGATACTAAAATAACAAGGCCTAGCAATAAAAGCCACGAAAACGAGAAAGGAATCAAACTAAAGACAATGAAACAAGTATTTGAACTAGATCATCATGTTAACAATCAACAAGTATAAGGTCTAAAAATGATTGTTATTAATTTCTTTAATTACTAAACTAATTAGGCCTGCTTTACGTACCATTTAGTCAGAAATACGGTTATGTTGTTGTTAGCATTGCTTGCGCCATCAATAAGCCCTCTCGCTAACTTTCTCAAAGGAAATGAATTTCAAAACCAAACTACGAATACTACGAATACACTATACTGTAGGCCTATGTTTATAAAGTCCTAATCTATTCATCATCATCATCATCATCATCATCATCATCATCATCATCATCATCATCAGCATCATCATCATCATCATCATTATCATTATCATCATCATCATCAACATCATCATCATCATTATCATCATCATCATCATTATAATAATAGGCCTATTTATATTTATTATTATATTGAGGATTGAAAGCTGAATTGTTTACAATTGTTAAAAAAATTGAAATCGGCTTCTGTTTTCATGACTTCTTGAGTAGTTTTTCTTTCTCAATTATGACTTGCTAACCACTACTGCAGCTGAATAATAGAAAGAATCGAAGCGAAATCAACATGCCACACCGTAAATTTTAACGAAATAAACCTCTTTTTCCAGTTTCCTACAGGCATCACCAGTGCTAACTAAAAACAATTACTGGAAAAAAAAACAATGATTATATACAGACTAAATACTGAATCATGGTGACACGTAGCCTAAATGCTTAGTACTTGTTTGTTGCCAAGTGGTATTAATAATATATTATAATAATAATTTTTATTATATATTATTATAATAATAATAATAACTGCTATTCATATTAGGTTTATATTATTTTATTATTATCATCACACCATTATCTATCATTAGGATTCCAACTTATGTAAAACTGGCTTACTACCTTAAATAGTAAACCTAGGGTAGTGAAGGGTCAATATTAGAGTAGGCCTACAACTGGTTTCCATAATAAAAACTTAAAGGTAAATCACTCTTATACATTTGTATTAAAAATCAATTACGTAAAAATTGAGATATTAAATTTCAATAATGCAAATCATCTAGAACATTGTTAAGCACGGTCAACCATTATTTATATCCGTTATAAGTCGTAAAACCATGGAGCTATGATATCAAGACAAGGTTTTTTTACAGCACGTAAACTTCACACACCTCGCCGATACCCATCACAACAATTTATGTTTGCCTATAAAGACACCTACATACTTACCAACGCAATGACTTTATTATAAACTGTATAAGCTAAGCCTAGGCTTAGATTATAAATAAAATGAATTATAATTTGTTCATAACGCTTCTATTCGCCTATAAAATGCAAGTGCATCTTGATTCATTATTCAAGTTTGACCCGTGTAAATTGGCATCATGGAATAATTATTTGTACACTGGTAATTAAAACTAACACTAAAGAGGTTAATTGCGAACACAAGGTAAAGAAAAATAGTCTTAAAAAATGTCAAAACCTTTACTGAACTTTGGATGGCAAATAATTAAGACCTGAATAGAATTTGATTTAATACTATATCACCTGGACTTGGGATTGTCATCTCTTCTCGGGCATTGACCGTAACCGACGATAGAGAAAACCGTTTTAATGCCGATGTGCTTTTTTAAAATTGAAGACAAAAATGAATCGAACAGCAGGGTAACTTGTACGATAACCCCTGTTTTGATCTAATTGACCCCGTTGTATATCACCGCTTTCCTTGATTTTAAACTGTAAAGTTAACTCTCGATAGTTCCCATTATGGGTAAGCCCAAAGGAATACAACTAATATTCATGTTTACAATGTCCTATTAATTCGCCAGTAACTAACTCACAGTTACAAAAAATATGGAACAATGCGATGCAATATGAATTTCTTTGGGCATTATGAGTTGGGATTTATCATGGCGAAATGCTATAGTATTTGCGCAAGACTTAGACTATACATCTTAAGGTCAGAATTAAAGGCAATTAGGATAATTATTTCCATTAATGTCATATTTGTCAATGTAATTTGTATTTTATTGGCGCAGACAACAGGGTAAACTACAATTACAGGATGTCCATAGTATAGTCACAGACGAAACAAACACTGGTGAAAAAGTTTACAAAACCGTAAAGATTGACAATATTACAAACACAATACAACAAAAATGAATAAATAACAATGGTTGAATGTAAACATTAAGCCAAAAAGCAAGTTAGTAAATATTGTATACTTAAACATAACTTCATCTTGCAATTAAAAATACGAACACAAACACTAAGCTACTACTAGCAAAGGAGGGTGGGGGGGGGGCAGCCGCTCCCGACCCTAATTGTACAAAATTTTAAAAAAATGGAGAATAAAGAAAATTATATTTTATTATAATTATAGCCTGAGAGTGCAATTTGCCTTCTAGAGGTGCCATAATCACACATTTTCTTACCTCAGCCCCAACCACGGTGGGGCTGAGTCGCTATAGGCCTATACGGTAGCCTATCCTCCATCTCTGAAAGTACGTCCCCTGGACCCCCTCTATTCTGAATTCCTGGATTCGCCACTGAAACATATACACGCAACGAAGTCCACTGAACAGGAAAAGTTAAGAAAACATAGATTATAATTGTATTTATAAATTATGATCATTTCGATGTCTTTTTGCGACCTTTTGCTTGAAGGAAATTAATGATCACGATAATCTAGCTGTAGGCCACAATCTACTCCCACACTTCCAAAGATAGAAAATGATACATCGCGTAGGTAAGAGTTGTAAAGATAATAAAAACAAACAATAATACACAGACCCAAACAGATAATGTCATTGAGTTGCCAATGATGTAAACAAATAACGGAAACAGCGGACACAGCAATGATCTACGTGACAATAGATTTTGACTCAATATCAACAGAGCTCTTCATCCTCATATGTTACAATAAATGCAACAAATTTCGGGTAGTAAATGACTGTAATGTTTATTACTATAGGCCTACTCAATACCCCATTGAAGGGGTCAAATGAATAGTAACATTTTTCAAAGGCCTAGTTATTATTGTAATTAATATTATTGTTATTATTAATATTATAGTGCATTATTATTGTTTTCATCATCATCGTCATTATAATCATTGTTATCATCATCATCATCATCATCATCATTTTCATCATTATTGCTATTATCATTACTACTATAGTTATACTGTTATTTAATATTTCAATATACCTTAGTAGTGTCATCAATTTATACTGAAATTTCTCGCTCTTATGTTATTGTAAAAGAATATAAATAAATTACTTTCTTAAAATTGTTGCAGCTTGATTAATTACAATATCGTTTTTAGAAATCATAGTGTATGTTACGTCGGATGAATATGCCCCATGGGCCTAATATATACACCAAGAGCATAAATGACGTTTATTATTTTTGTATTCGTTTAAATTTGCAAATCTATGCCTAATATAAATTTTAATAAAAATGGTTTAATATTTTAATTTGATTTCCTTTAATTTTTAACATGGATTTAGAAAGTATGGCCGAAACCGGTGTTGTGAGTCGCTGATACCACTACAATCCTCGTTAATCGTATTCCGATTCATGTTAACCTCGATGGAATCCGAGTTAATCAGCAAATAATTCTAGTCTTTTTCATCGATATTATTACATGTTTTCATGTAGTAGCTTATATTATGTACTTAATAGGTTAAGCCATACTTCCGTGAATACGTGATGTGTTGACCATCGTTTGTGTTTGTTTGTATACTTTAACACTTCCCGGTTGTTATTTACTTCAAATTAGAAAAATGTTGAGGTGTCCCCAAGATTAATCGACATAATAGTCCTTATATTATAATATTATAATAAAAAAAACAAAAAAGTATTTTTTAAATATGACATGATGGAAAAAGTCCGTGCTTTAACAGTTATAAATATAATTGTAACGGATTTAAACGAATTTTAAAGCATATAAATAGATACATATGGAAGTGAGTGCAGCAAATTCCAAAACACCAATGGTAGTAGGTTCGGTAAATTTACTACTTAGGAAGTAGCTTTGTGAATTATTCAATTAATGGTTAGCACTCAAAAAGGGAACCACGCGTTTAAGCCACTTTTGATACTTACGCGGTCACATCACAGTCCCACAAGAACTTCCAACACTACAGTTTAAACATACTGAAACAGTCAGAGCCGAATTTCTAAACCTTCCACACGAATTGTTTTAAGGAACACCAACCAACAGCTTTGTGACTTCAGATGTAAGTTTTTATCACCTTTTTAGTTTCTCCTTGTCGTTGCCCTTTTTTCTGTTAAAGAAAACATCGTCTTGTGCGCGGACGTCAAGAAGATCTAATTCCCTCCAACCAATTTCCCAGTATGAAACGTAACGAATGAATGGAACTATTTTGTGGTGGATTTCTCTTTGGGTATTCGAAAGCATAGACATAGGCCCACTTTAAGGAATGTTGGCCAAACTTGTTGAATTCAGACTTGGACGTGCCTATTCTCAATCATAGCTTGATTTTTATTCTGTTAGGAAATAATGGATATGCCTACTGGATGTGTAAAATACTATGGCCTATAAACAAAGCTAACGAAAGAAGAGTGTATAACAAGCTATGCTTATTCAACAACCCCAAAATTGTCTAATCAGAAATTGTAACTTCAAACGAGTTTTTAAAACAATTTTACTAATAACAATGTCAAGAAATCATATAATCAGGAATAATTCTTATTCTAAAAGTGTTTTATTTCACAATCGCCAACATTTGCCTATTTTATATATTTTATATAAATCCTTAAATTGATTAATACCGTATTCAATTTAAGGGTCTATGCCAAGAATCGGAACTTACTATTTATAAACATTTCATCATTTTAATATAGAATGATTCAGTTTATTTTACACACTAATCAACTCAAATATTTATTTATTTATTTAGTTCGAAAGATCTACCTATTTGTTTGCCCAGGAAGCACGAGCAAGCAATTTCTTATACAATTGTTAAAACGTTCGGCGCTTTCCAAAATTTATTTATTTTTAATGTTTTTGTATTTCACAAACCGTGTATCTTAATATTGAATGATTCTTCCCTTATACGAGAGGTCGTTCTATAAGTCTTCTGTGTTGACAGCCTTCACTTATATCTGTTTTATATCGGCGACATATATTTGTATCTAACATTTAAGTTTCCCACATAATTCTGGTCTTTAATTTGTTTGTTTAGAAATAGCATGGATAAGCCGTCAGTCTTCTCGAAAGCCTGATCTAAACTTGTCTCCTTGTTATTTTTCCAGTCACAATGGTTCAATACTCGTATGCCTATTGCTTCAGAAAACTTCGGGAAAAAAAAAGAAGTTGGCGACTTTTCCCGAGCATTTCTTTTCTGTTGTGTGTCTTTAGGCCTACGATAGGCCTACATTTCACTGTTGTTAATAGTAGGCCTACGGTAAGTCAATCCGCTGGCTTTTGCGCCTTGCACAATTGACACACTGTACAAGCGATCAATTGAAAATTTGATTTAAGTGAGTTTGAGGAGAATGTGAATAATTCATGAAGGGCTAACGACTTCATATTAAGACATGCGCAATTCATTGTATATATAAATTAATAACAGCGTCGGCAAGAAAAAAGTCTTAATCAGCAAACTTATCACTGTTGTTGTTCATCATTGTTTTGTTAGTCACAACTCACACGACACCAGTTCTATGCAATCAAACGTTCCCAAATCTAAGTTTGTTAAATTTCACCGTTTCACTCTGTTAACTTTTATTTAAGGCTACCCGAAGTAGCCAACGTATGTGTCTCCTTTAATCGCTTAAAAAGGATTAGGTGTGAAAGCAGCATTGAAGTATAAAAAACAAATACTAAAGAGAGAGCCTTCATATTGCAAAGGATTTATATTGAAACACATCCTGAGCTGCAGTTCAGTTGTTATAGATTCTTCCCATATGAACACATTTGAACTTGGTTTGCGAGTAATTATTTTAATGACCACTGAAAATTAGATGATTTGTGTTACCTGATATCGAGTGTTACCGATACGATATTTCATTATTGGTGAGTTAGTCCTTTGGACAGATTTTGTATCCGTTCTCAACGCCTTTTTCCTAATAATAAACAGTATAATAGATCTTATTTGTCTCGTATTATCAAAAGTAAAAATGTACCATACCTTTTGTTCCCAAAAGTCCTATTAAAAATATATTGTATGCCTGTTTGTACAGTATTTACTGCATTGTGTTTTCAAAACAAACGTCATTAAACGCCAGAGGTTATATTTTAACTATAGAAATATGTAAACCGGTCTACAGTGATATAAATGTAAACAACTTCGGGAAAAAACCTGCTACTCTTCCTAGTAACAATACACGACCAGAGGTGCAAAAATTGTTACAATAAAGTTATTGTAGTCGATGTTGTTTAACTTAAATTTTAAAGTTGTCACATATGTAACCCAACTAACAGCACATGTTATGTCATAACAAACTATAACATACAATTATATCTCCATGAGCTAACATTATTATAAATAAATAATAATGCCTTTATCTTTACGATTGGTTGTTTGGCATCACTTTAAGTATAATAAAAAAAATTTTTAAACCCCTTAAGAGTCAGATCTCAAAACCATATTATATACAATAAATTATATACAAACAAACATATTTAATTAATTAGGCCTATGTTATATAATTATAAAAGTGGTCCATATGGTGTGCAAGGGTCGAGACAAGGATTTTAGTTGCTAGATTTAAAAACAGTCTCATGGCAATGTGTAGGCCTAACCTAATCAAATAGTGACTAGTGATATAATATATCAGTTGTCGTGGGTATAAAGAGAAGATTTATCACCACTCGTGTTTTGATATTGTGGTAAATTCTACTCTATGGCAAGGGTCTGGTTAGTAAACGAAGATGGGATCATTTGGCACGTTCCCAAGTTTTCGGCCTTAAAGCTAAAATACTGTAGTTAAAGGGCATAGCCTCTCACAATTTAAATGTTTACACATTCAATAAACAAAATGTTTTAATTATTTATTTAACAGTCAAATATGTTATCAACATCTATATAAGATACAGGATACAGATACATTTCAGATCGAAAAGGGAACATTTTCCCTGATTTTTAAACTCTTTTAAACAAAAATTTGATCTAAAATCTACATCAATTTGCAATTATCAAAATTGCGAGTATTATTCGTGTGATAGTAGTACTGTATTTCTATTTCTTGTTATCAAAGTTATTAAATCATCTTCTTGTAGAACAGAAGAAAGGAAGCAGGTAGCTTAAGTTATTAGTAAGGCTACCTAACAACAGCTTGATCCCCGGTGTAGACCTCTAAATAGCTATTGAATAAACAGTAAAACATCTCACTATTGAAAGTTAATGATGTCTTATGTTTGAATGTTTCACGAAGCCGGGTCTTAAATTGCACTTCGTGCATCTTAACTATCTAAAATGTACTTAAACACGCAAAATCGATATTAGTTGAGATCTGTGATGAAGTAGTTGTTAAACGATGATATGTCTCGATGGAGTGTTTATGATCACGTGTCTAGACGTAGGTTATTTCGTAATTTCACGCAAAGCACGAAGTATGAAAAAATAGTACTCCCAGCTATCTTATTCGAGCCCTTATTCTTCGTTAGTATTCGTGTGTATTTTTATACTAAATTTATAAAAAAAAAAATTATTTCGTTAATTTTTTGTTATGGATTTATTTACCCGGTCACTTGGAGGTCGGCTTATGTTGCTTGGACAGTAGCTGAAATCATCAGTCACATATTGTTGGAGTACCTCCCTTAAGATTCAACTGTTCTGGGAGATTAACACCTCCACAACAGAAATTCCCCCACTACTACTACTACTAAGCAGAAACCACGTGAGTCAACTGCCAATCAATCGTGTAGGCGTTACTTTGACTCTGTCTATTCCATTTGAATTTCTGGGGATGCTTAAATCGCGCGGACTAGGATAAAATTCAGGAAACGTCATAATGACGGGCGAGCATCTGGCAAGGAATTAAAAGTGGATGAATCGGTATTAGAAGTATTCGAAAGTTTGGCTACCCTTTGGGCAAGTCGTGAAACCCAAAAGTTGTTGTCAAGTTCGGGTACTACAGTACGCTAAGTATTATATAAAGTTAGCAGCGATCGTTTTCAAATCGGTTTTCGACAAGTTTGCCAACAGCTGAACGTAATCTGGATTAATTTTTAACTGTCTTAATTTTTTTTATAGTAAGTCCGTGAAATTTCCAGAATGGAGGTAGATATGAAAATTAAGAATATGAACATGAACAATAACGGTATGCAAGAAGGTCCGATGGAGTTTGCCCAGCGACTGATGGGCATGATCAACGGAGCAGCTATTACGATTGCCATAAGCCTTGGATCCGAGACAGGTCTCTTCAAAGTTATGTCAGGCTTAAGTAAACCAAAAACATCAGAAGAAATCGCAAAAATTGCAGGACTTAAGGAAAGGTAAATATATAATTTTTTTTTCATTTTTAGGAGAAAATAGACCAGGCGTGTGTATGCTTTTCTTACTCTTGTATTTAATCAGTAACAGGCAAGGTAAAAAAGTAATCATTAAATTTTTATTCTTAGGGCTTTTCACATAAAATTATAAATAAACGTGCCTTAAAACCAGGCAAATGAATTTTCTGTTTAAATACAAAAAATTATTAAAAATCCTGAATGTTTCCGATATAAATATTTTTAAATTTAAATCCTGAACATGGTTTTATCATAAATAAAACAGTTTTTAGTTTTCTATACATTCTCAACATAGACAGGCCTTTATATTAAAAAAAAAATCAAAATAGGTTACAATGTCAATATGTAATGTGGTTGAACTCTACTTGTAACTGTTATGTCGAATTAACTTGAATAATGTGGCCTACCAAACAAATAAAATATATTACATATTAGGCCAGTGTAATAGGCCTTATTGATTGAGTAAACTTGTGATCAGCCTGATCGTACTTCAGTTTCACATTGAAGCTTGTTTTTCAATCACGGACAACACGTTCAATTTGCTCGTAAAATTCAATTGTTATAATGATTCAAAATTGTTTTCATTTATATTTATTTAGTTTTTGTTAATAGACATAGGCCTACACCGTATTTACACATAAAATATTTATATTACACGCATACAATAATAGTTACTATGGGCTATGATCAGCACAATGAAGACCTATGCTTATATTCGTGTCCAACATCTTTAACCTGAATTCTACTCTGTGTGATCAATTTTAAATGTGTGAGAATAATCGATTAAAAAGAGATTAAATTGCCGGTTATAAAATATAGAAAAATGCGTGGACATTAAATAAAAACATTGAATTTGCTTGCTTATGTGTCCAATGAATCAATTTCCAATAAGGCACATACCGTTATAAGTTAGTTGATTTGCACTACGAAGGTTTAAAACATTAAATGTAGCCATTTTAAAAGTTTACAGGAACAGTATGAATCTTTTAATTGGCGAGAAAACAATATTTAATTGTAGTAATTTTCAATTGAAAGCTTGCAATTTACTTAAATCCAAATTAGATATACAAGCTAACTCATTTTATAATTTGAATGTTATGCTTCGAGTTTATTACCATAGTAGACGGTAGGCTTATTGTCGTGGTGGTATTTATACGTTGAGATTCACAGAGAACCCATATGAGCAACCCAGTGATTCGTTGAACTGCGATTCTTCTGAGTTTCATTGCAATGGTATCTGGTAACTATATATAATTTGTCCGACCGTGAATTCAATTTTATAAGTTATTAGGTCACAGCATCCCCTGGTGAATATTTAGGGTCGTCTAAAGCCAAAATATGATTATTGTATACCAATTGATTAACTGCATTGACTTAAATCGTAAATGTATGGCATACAAATATATATGTATGAAGTGTTTGTTAAAAAAAGAAATACTCGATTGAAACAGGCTATGATATTAACATGTAGGCCTATTGTGTTTGATCGCCAGAATGAATGTGGTTGATAAAATGTTCTTGATCAGCTCTCCAGCAAACGGTTGTAAATTATTAGTTTACGTTTAAATATGTACATCAATACTCACTATCTGATAGGCCTATTAAAACTCAATATTGCCGTAATCAAAAATGTATTTTTAAACAACGACTCAAGACTGATTCAACAGAACACAGGTTGGAGACTTAATGTAATAAAAATATAATGTGTTCGCATTGCTAGAAATACATATTTTCCCTGCAGGACAAGTAGCTTGCACACGTTGGTCATAGACAGGAGGGAAACACACGATGCTCAGTAATTACAACAGAAACTGTTAAGGTATTAAAAACCTTAAAGTGGTTACGACACGAATCGGTCATTCGCGTATCTGTAGGCATATATAGGCCTACACACAACGAGAGGCACTACACAAAATATAGTTCAACACATTAATTACATGAAACTTCTCACTGTAGTTTAGCCAAATCAGGAAAAAAGAGAAAAACTCCAAAAACAACGTTATAGTAGTTTACTGAATATATATTACACTGTCAAAGTTCGTTAGGCATTATGTGCATTCCCCCATAGAGGCTTGTAAATTTGAAATAAGGCTTCGCTATGCATGGGCATATCAAACGAATTATGATAGCCTTTTCATTAACATTTCTGTCGAAGGAAAATGTAGTTTTCCGATGATCACAGGCCAGGGGAGTTGTTGCACAGACTTATGCTTTGATATGATTAAAGGAAATCAATGCCGAGATAAGAAAAATACGGCTGACCAGTGAATTTATTTTACAAGCCTGGTATATGCTAGTCAGTTCACATTGATGGTTTGGGTGATAAGTATATAATTTCTGGTCTAAAGTTATTGTGAGGTATAATTATATTGGATATTTTTTTTATACACTACAATACCAAGCTGGGGCTATATAGTTCATTACCGGTAAACTCCAATCACCTAATATATAAATTTAATATTGATACCTTTATTATTTCGTTGTCTTAACAATGAATTAGCACTTATATATCGTGAGAGAATTATTGTCGAGATCACGTATACAATAATGTACAGTGTCAACTTTCATTCTCTCTCACAAGTACACCGTGACCCTGTGACGTAAATAGAAGTAAAACAACAATTACAAATATTAGGATGACCTGGAGGCACCAGACTCGCAGGTTGACAACTTAAGAATTAACAGAGAGAAGATTTTTAATTTAAGGGTGCCGAGCAGAAATGCACCAGAACCAGAGGCGACGTGAAAAGCAAAGATCGTACAACAGGCACACGTCACCAGTAACCCCTCTCAAATACATACTAATATGTTCATCCATTCATCTATAGAGGAAATAAAATCGATTTTGATTTATTACCTCCATGGTTCATCTGTTTTCATTTATTTAAATTATGATTAGGCCAGATAATAAGGTAAATTTATTGCAACCCAAAAAATGAAAAACCGTTTAAAGAATTAAAAATAAATGATTGAACTTTATCAACAGATTTGTTGTGACTGTATTTATTGCTTGTCATAAAATTATTGTTACATATATTTGCACATAGGTTTTTGTTTCATTATTTATTTATCTATTTATTTATTATTAATTTAATTATTTTTGGAGGGTGGGTGGATAGTTAACTGTAATGTGGTGTTCTTTTGAGTTTATTGTTTTTCCTTTTATATTTGAAATTTGATGTTATTATATAATATGTAAAATGTTATGTTATATCCTGTTATGGACGACGTATGTCACCGCTTGATCTTGGTGGAATAAAAAACAAAAAACAAAACAAAACAAAAAACAAAACATTCAGTAGGCCTAGTTATATATCGAAAAGTATCAGTGTTAAATTAAATTATTTAAAATGTAAAGTAAAGAAAATCCTTAAATTTGTTTGCATTACCATTACCATCATATATTATAGTATCTATGTTTCACTTAAAGTTTTGATTTTTTGAAATATACACAAACTAATCATTTCTGAAAACCTTTTACTACTATTACAACTAATAATATTGCTAACTCCGAACATGTGTCTCGGAAGGCAAAATTGTATCGCAAACTGAAATCAAAAGTGAGTCATAACACATGTGTTACAATTATTAAATTTATTGTTATTTTTTATTAGACCTATTAGTAGTATATTGCTAACTCTAAGCATGTACCGCGGAAAAAAATAACTCACAGAACATGTGTAACAAGATATTATTTAATCATAATTATCATAATCATTACACATCCTTACCGTTATTAGGCCTAGGCCTATAACCATTATTATCACCGCTACCATCATAATCGTGACCATCATTATAATTGTCAATCGTTATGATTAGGCCTATATTTATTATTTTTATATAATAATAATAATAATAATAATAATAATAATAATAATAATAATAATAATTATAATTATTATTATCATCAATACTATCATTATTATTAATTTAACTATTATCATTATTATTATTATTATTATTACTATTATTATTATTATTATGTTTTATTTTCATTTATGGGTTGCAACTGGGTAACTAGTACGATACTATACTGTGTGACGGACTTGCTGATAAACATATTGTACGTAAACAGAAATACTTTGCTTAGGTGCTGTATGTCTTGTGAGAATTCACATGTGTATTTCTGACCCTATTTGCAGGTACGTTCGTGAATGGCTGGCGTCAATGGTTGTTTCACGTATTGTAGAAATGGATGAGGAGAACGGCACATACTATGTCCCACCATATCGAAGACCATTCCTAGAAGGACCCAAAAATACAGCAGGATTTGCACGTATGATCCCGATGCTGTGCGAAGCATACGACAGTGTGGCAGATTGCTTTCAGCTAGACGGGCCTAGGGGTAAGGCTAACAGTGTCATTATTTATTATAGATCTGAGCCTATAATTACGATTAAAATCTAGTACATATATAAAAATATAAACCATAAATTATAATATTCTATACAATATTATTAAATAGTTTTTTTTATTATCCATTTTTTGATTACAAAAATACACATATAACATAATAAAGGGTATTAAACATTGATTCATTTCAATTATTGATTTTGATAGACCTCAATGACTACCGGTAGTTACACACCAACTCAGTAGGTTTCGTATAAGACAAGTTCTAAAATTTAATAATAGTAGCAATAACAACTATACTAATAATATCGTATATAATAATAATAATAATAATAATAATAATAATAATAATAATAATAATAATAATAATAATAATAATAATAATAATAATAAATTAATACTGTAAATAATGATAATGACTGATAATGATACTGGTAATTATAATGGTACAATTTTAATAATAACGGTGATGATAATATTATGATGAATTTAATATTGTGTTTGTAAAGAATATGATGAATAAACATGTGGAGGGATTAATTATGGATTAGGGCTACAAAGCTCAACATTGAAACTTCAAGGGTTGTGGCTCCTATGCATTGTGTTGGAAGTTCAGGTAGCCCATGTTTTTTGTTTTGTTACAGAGCATTTGTTACGAATGTTACGAGCAATAAATGTACTGTATTTTCACTGTAGTTTCCTAGATGGCAAGTCTAAATTTGATTCTGACTCTGCTGTTGTAAGAGCCTCATCCCCGGCATCATACAATACATAGTTGTATTTAAAAAATATTTTATAATATTAGCCTAACAGTAACAGTTTAGATTTA